ATATCTTTCTCATAAGACTGTTGATTGAATTAAGTGAGTTTATATGTAAACTGCCTGGACTCGTGCTAGATCCAGAGTAAATACATGATAGTTTTCACAATTACTAAAATTGAAGCGCATGGGAGAGGCATAGGCTGTAGAATAAAGGGTTGGGAATAATCAGTACTGAAATCTCTCACCAACTTTGATTTTTATCAGCTCCTGTTTTAAGACAAGGTTTTTACCTTTGCTTACCAAAATTTTGGTAAGCAGTTTTACAATTTGCATTTTTAACAATTTAAAATTTTTACACTTGCTGATGGTCACTTTTGTAGACAATCCATGTATCAGACCAGCTCTGTTAAACAGTAGAACAGGGGTTATGCTTCTCTTAGTTTTTGTAACCCAGGTAAGATAGTAGGATGGGAAGTAGATCCGTTTGTGTCCCACCTTTTTTCAGTATGTTAGGGTGTAGACCATGCCTAGTGAAATGTCTTGTTCAGGGCCTATGAAATTGTGGAAAGGTGCAGGGATTTCTTCAACAGCTTGCTAATACAAGATCCCAGACGATAATGGCCTGCTTTAAAACCTTCCAAAGGTCTCTGTATAACATTCCACTTTGAAACAGTCTCTTTAAGTTGAACCAATGAAGTTAAAGGAACCAGGGGAAATAAGCAAGTGATATAAATGCAAATCAGAAAGTTCAAGTACTGTAGTTCACAAGAGAAAGAGATCATGTAGTTTTTTGGTCTTTAACACTATCCACTGTTCATCTTTGAGCCCTCACAGGGTTAGTATGTTGTCTTGCATTGCAGTAGAAGCCCAGTAAAACAATATTCAGTGTATGTGTTTGGCGTTGGTCTTGAAGGATAGTTACAGTTTAGGCAGGAGGAGATAGGATTACTGACATGTCAAGGGAAAAGAATGACCTGCAAAATGGGAACCCACAGGGCGCATGCACAGAATGTCATTTGCTGTACAGCAGTGGGAAATAGGGCAGGAAGGGTAGGTTGGGGAAACTCAACAACTTTTAGAAAACCAACTATTTAACCTAGGGTAAACTTTAAATTCTGGAAGGCAGATAAACTGAGATATTATTTGGAAATCTCTAATGTAGCTAGCAACACTCTGTATTGTAATTGTCTTCTGTGTGATCTTCTGATAGGGAGTATAATCCATTGTACCTACTATAGTACCTGGGATATGAAGGCTACAGTCAACTCAGCAGTTTGTCTCTGTCCATGTCCCCACCCCATCACCTCCAAATCTGGTACATTACAGCTTTATAGGCAATACCTTAGCTGCCTCCTAACTGTTAAGGCTACAGGAAATGCAAAGTAGCTTATTCACAAGAAGTTTGGGGATTCTAGGACCCTCTTTGGTTTCTTTCTACAAAGTAGGATGGTGGATGCAAAATGTATTAACTAGTTTTAATGCGTTTCTAATACAGGTGAGCTGAGAGAACACTTTGCACAGTTTGGCCATGTACGAAAGTGCACTGTACCTTTTGTGAGTATTACATTTTTTTAGTATTAATGTTATCCTTTAATTCCTGATTATTACTATTTTTTGGTCAGAGCAATCAACTTATCTGAATGTCTAATGGAGTGAAGCTGTTCAGTCTTTTTTGATAAAATTAGGGGTGATACTGATTAAAAAGTAAAAAAAAAGAAAAAACCTTATTCTAGGCATTTATGCTAGTTTTTTATTGTTGTTTAATAAATCACCACCAAGTTAGTGGCTCAGAACAACATACACATTATTCTCTCACAGTTTCTGGAAATCAGGAGTCTGGGCGCAGCCTGGCTGGGTCGTCTGCTCAGGTCTGATCACTGCAGTCCGTGCGCCAGCTGGGGCTGTGGTCTCATCAGAGGCGCACCTGGGGAGGATTGAGTTCCAAGATCCTGCAGGCTGTTGGCAGAACTCATCTTTCAGCTGTCAGGCTGAGATGAGATATCTGCTTTCTTGCCGGCTTTCAGCTGGAGGCGGCTCACAGACCAGAGGGACTGCCTGCAGTTTCTTGTTATCTGGCTTCTCTGTAGGCTATTCCCCAGTGTGGCAGCTTGCTTCCTTCAAGTCAGCAAGGGAGTTTCTCCATTCTGCTAAGACAGTTTTATAGTCATGGAAATGACACCCCATCACCGTTGCCATATAACCTGATCAAGGGAGCAGCATCCCATCACTTTTGCTATATATTCTTTTGGTTAGAAGGTCACAGGTCTCCCCTCCCCGCCCCCCACACTCTCTCGGGGTGGGGATTATACAGGGGTAACATGGTGGGGTACGTGGAGGTCATGGGCCGCCTTAGAATTCTGCCTACTGCAGTATTATAACGACTTGGCGATAGCAGAGGATAGTTTATCATAAAGCTAATAGTGAGGAATATCTATTTTAACCTTTTCCCTCATTAAGTTGGGTGCTTTTTTAAAAAGTGTTTTTATGACTTTTCCTTTGCTTTCTCATGAGGGTTTAGAAATCAATCTATAATTTGTTCTACTTTATCCTGGGCTGTATTTTTCTGTGGCTTTCTAGAATTACTCTTTTTGGCAGGGTATGATGTGAGTACAGAGTTGACACATGCCTCACTGAAACTGCTCCCTTTTTTGCCCATGGTGTTGGAAAGGCTATGGCAGAATGTCAACCGAGATTAAGTACTCATCTCTCGCTTTAATGTTAATTGCCTTCCAAAGTCCAACGGATTACATATCCAGTGCTGGCGAAGGTGTAGGAAAACTGGCATCCAAATTGTCAAGTTTAATGGGTACCTTCATTTTGGGAGGATAGTTTGACAAAATCTATCAAAAATAAGAATTTGTGTTTGCTTTGCTTTACCAGTTCCCTTTCTAGGAATTTAATCTATAGAAGTGTGTGGTGAAAATGTTCAAAGCAGCATTGTTTAATAGTAGTATAACAGGAAAAAAACTTAAATGTACATTGGTGAGATTAAGTAGATACTAATTCATTGATACAATGGAATTTTATACTGTTGATTTAAAGGAATGAGATACGTGTATTACGGACACAAAAATCTGTAAGCTTAAAAACTGTAGTTTTACAAAGAGTTTGAAATGTGTGTTTCTTGAAGTTTCTCCAAAAAAAGTTACAGCTATTATTTCTTGGTTGCCATTTCCTTCTTAAAAGTATAAATAAAATAATTTAGGGCCTGTAGTTAACAGATCTTAGATTTAAACAAAAGAAGGCTTAAACCTAAATAAAATGTGATAGGAAAAAAATTACTTTCTAGTTCAATTCTTTGTATTCAATTTAGAAAACCAGGTTCCCATTTTAGATATGTAGTATCTAAGTTTTAACACAGGTAAATTTTAAGGCCTTATCTCCAAAAGGTAGAGGAGAGTGCTTTAGAAATTGTCATGTTTACCTGAAGGAGTGAATCACTGGGACATTACTAGAAACTGTTCCTGTGTTTTAGGTTAATAACACTCAGGTTACTTTTGAAGTATGGGGGCAGTTTTTAGGAGTTTGGTTTTGAGGGGGCAGAGCACAATAAGACTTAGTAACAAGACTGATTATGTACATTGAGTGGATATAGACATCCTGGTATCTGTCCTTTACATAGTAGGGCTGATGTGGGTGGGGGCAGGGTGAATCCAAGCACACCAGAACCTCTTTTCCATGGGTGCTGATGTATAGGCTGAATGATAAACACTGCCTTTTCTACAAAGTAGAAAAATTGTTTAAATTAACCAGAATTCTGGAACTAGGTAAATAAGGGTAGTACATATATTTTTCCTATTTTTTTTATTAAGAGTATAATATAGTGGTGGTGATGAGGCTGATTGGTCTCAGAATCGCTAGAAATATAACAAGGTTCTAAAGCTTAAATTTCCTTTCTAGAAGTGAGGAAGTTAGAAACAGGAAGAGTACTTCTTTATATGATCAAAGTTTCCCTTGACTATTGCTGTTAAGTGTGTTTTGTATCTAGAATGACACAGAAAACTCATTCTTACACTTCTATGGCAGCAGAAAAACAGATATGATCAACATAACACAGGGATCAGACTTTGGGTAACTAGGAGTGAATATGCATTAAGGTTTTTGATTTCATTAAAATGTCTCATCCCATTTTGGTAAATGAGAAAGTTGGTAGCTTGACATGGAGTTTATGGGAACTCTCAAGTTGATAATTGTTTTCCTAAATTTTGAATTTTTAGGACAGAGAGACTGGCTTTCACAGAGGAATGGGTTGGATTCAGTTTTCTTCAGAAGAAGAACTTCAGAATGCACTGCAACAGGACAGTCATGTTGTTGATGGAGTAAAAGTAAATATTTTTATGTCCTATCATGAGCTGTGTATCAGTGAAGTAGGTCAGAAGTGTGAAATGACAGGGATTTGGGGAGATTTAAGAATGGTGGAGGTGGTGGTAGAGTGCCCAGTTCTAAAAGTCGGGAGGGAAACAAAGGAAGACCGTGTAATGGTTAGCAAGCATGTAGAACACCAGTAATAGTGGAAATAGCAGTGTACTTACAAGCCAGGAATTGAAATCCTGGCTTTTCCACTTACTATATGACCTTGGGTCAAACTGACATGACTTTTAATTGAAATCAGGGAGTCTTATGAATAAAGAACATCTTATTGGTGCTAACTCCCTAATAAAAATGCAGCCTTAGGGTGGCAGTCTTCAGGGTTTTGTTTTGTTTTTTAAAGATTTTATTTTTAGGGTGGGGGAAGGGAGGGAGAAAAACATCGATTGATTGCCTCTTGTATGTGCCCTAGCTGGGACCAAACTTGCAACCCAGGCATGTGCTCTGACCAGGAATTAAACTGGTGACCTGTTGCTTTGTAGGACAATACCCAACCCAACTGTTCACACTGGTCAGGGCAGCAGTTTTTAGTTTTAATGTTTTTGCAGACATTGCCTTTCTTTATTTACAGTGCTTATTTGATTTTTTTCAGCTCCATGTTCAAGCTCAGAGACCAAAAGTTTTGCAAGGGGATCAAACATCTGATGAAGATTTTTGAGACTATTATTGCCTATTAAATAAAGGAACACAACTGAAAATTTTGTCTAAATGTTTTTATTTGAAACAAATAGGTGCACCAAGCAAGCGCTTAATTTTCCCCACTCCAGATTAAAATAGCACAACAGGGGCAAACATTTGGCAGGACAGTTCCAATATGTGAACATCCTTCTACTCACTGTGGTTGGGGTAACTTTACTTATAAGCTGTCCTTACACAAAATATTAACCCCAAAGTTCTAACATCAAACAAAAGGAAGTGGTCTTAATTTCATATGTGGGGCAGTATGTCCTATAAATGCCAAAAGGTGGGAGAAGCACAAACACAACTCACTCTTTAAAAAAACTAAATAGTTCAAAGTAGAATTTTCCATCCGCCCTTTCTCCCGTAATAAAAAGTAGTGCTGGGGTATGATACCCAGATTTGGTTTTCATCTGGCCCATTTACAAGGTGTTCCCCCATATGACTTGCATCATTAGGGTTATGAATAATAGTCCATTCACTAGAAGAGGTGTATCTACTCCTTCCTCCTCTTCTTGCCTTCATGCTCATGTTCCTTGGGGCGGCTGCTATCTGAGGGTCTTTTAGAGCCACCATGCTGTTTGGCTTCTTCCAAAAACTTGTCCAAACCAAAAGGATCTTCCTCAAACTGAACTGGTCCTTCTCGACCTCTTTGCCTACTACGGTCTGAACCAGAAAACTCCTTATCGGGAACAAATCTATGGAAAAAGAAAAAGAACTATGAAATACTTTGTTCTCACTGGTACAAACATTGAAATGGAGCTGTTTGCTTGATACCTGTTGGTCTTTATTCTGGCTTCTAGGTCATCACCATACATGTCCTTATCCAAATTCTTACTGGGCCTGTAAATATTCTGGGCCATGTCTTTACCACCTCTCCAGGCTTGGTCATAAACATTATAAATTTCATCTTCTCCACCTGCAAAACCACTGTCCATACCCTGTGGAAAAAGAGGACATTAAAAGTATATATATTACTATTTATTAAAAGTTGCATCTCATTACATGTGAAGACTACATTCATGTGAATCTGACTACATTTATAGTTCACCAAAAAGATAATTCATTAAAAAATGTCCATAAACTTGTTCAGTCACCTTTGTGTCCTTAGATAAAATAAGGGACTCATTAACCAGTCTAACTACTGTAGCAAAGTAGTCAAAATTGAGATGCTAGTATAAGCAGCTATTTGACAATTTCAATTTGTATAGAGGCAAGAAGATGAAAGAACTAAAACATCTAATGCCATTTAGAGCACGGGTGTCAAACTCATTTTCACCGGGGGCCACATCAGCGTATTGGTTGCCTTCAAAGGGCTGAATGTAATTTCAACTCCTTAACAATTAAGGAGTAGTTACATTTATACAGTCCTAAAATTATTTCAGCCCTTTAAAAGCAACCATGAGGCTGATGTGGTCCCCAGTGAAAATGAGTTTGACATCCCTGATTTACAGTAACACCCCTTAACTGCCCGAGAACATCACTATTATAACGAAATAATAGAGCTTGTAATGAAAATCTTAACAAACCTGCTTCATATACTTAGAAAAATTTTCATCACAACATTTAAACCTAAACTTGTAAGGGCTGACTGTCAAATATTTACTTATGCGGATCTTTCATTCCTAACCCCCTTTGCGCAGACTGGTATGATGACATTGTACAGTGTTTAAGAACACAAGTTTTGGAATCAAGACAGCCAGTGTTTGAAATCTGAGTTCCATCAGTTACTAGAGCTAAACCTTTATGTGTCACAATCTCCTCATCTTTAATAATAGTAATAGTGTGATCTGATAGGGTTTTTGTAAGGGTTAAGTAAGATAATACAAGTAAAAGAACAATACCAGCAATATAAAAAGCACCCAGTAACTTAATAATTAGAAGAGCTTACTCAAATGCTACCTTTAGATCTTTTTTTTTTTTCCAAAGGATTTTAATTATTTTTAGAGAGAGGGTTGGGGAGAAAAGGAGAGACACAATGATGTGAGAAACATCAATCAGTTGCCTTCTCCAATGTGCCCGGACCAGGGACTGAACCAGCACCCTAGGCGTGTTGCCCTGACTGGGAATCAAACCAGCAACATTTCACTTTCTAGGATGATGCCCAACCAACTGAGTGAGACAGGTCTGGGCACTACCCTCAGATTTTAAAACCTCCAAGTCACAATCAACTTTTCTCTCTCTACACCCAGTAGAACTTTATACTGCTATATTTTTAACACGGTCTGCCTTGTCTTTATTTATATACACATGTCCATCTTCTCCAGTAGACTTAAGTGTTCTTTAACGGCAAAGGCACATCTATCTTTGATCTCTCACTCATGCAGAGTAAATAATGCTGGGTGAATTAAAACACAAAGGTACTTCTTAAGGCCTACTGTGTCCTAGCCAGTTAATGACAACTGGTACTAGAAATTAGATTTCCTGACTAGTACTTTAATCTAATTTTACACACACAGTTTCACTTTTTAAAAATCCCAAGTGTATGTGTCTCAATAGCATTAAAATGATTTGTTTTCATAGATCAACAAAAAATGAAGACTCTTGTAGGACACTAGCTCTATTTTAGAAATAAGAGAATAATAAACCAGAATCAAGTTTTATAACCTAATCTCTTTCATTTTCTACTAGCCTCGATTCTTAGCTAACTTTAAGAGGACAAAGTTAGAGCTGTTTCATCTCACTTGTCTCTTACATTACAACATGCAACTTCTAATTCTTTTCTGTCATCATGCTAGCATACCTAAGGTTGGTCTAAATCTATGCTATGTTCATGTGCTCTTTCCTGAGGATCGGTATTCATACCAACACTTAAGACACGCTATTTCTATTGTACCTTGGATTGGTTGAACAGCCTTTGGTCATACTGAACTTCATTGGAAGTCCGAGGATTGGGTACACCAAGTGCAATGGCCTCACTGATATCTCGATTTTCATTTCTCTGCAGTTTTGACCTGTTTTGAAATACAATGTCACTAAGTGAAAAGCCTTCACAGACAAGCTGAATTTCAATTTTAAAAATACAACCAATCTCAGAAGCAAAGGAAGTGAGTGCCCTGTTAACATCTCGTGAACATATATTCCCTGATAATGCATAATCGAGCTGGCAGCCCTTACAGCATTTCAGATAGCTGATTATTAGAAGAGGTAGGGTTTTATAATTAGGCCCTCCTGTTAGCTGAGAAGAATTGCCAAGACTCATTCTTGATATGGACGTCTTTAAAACACAAGCAATCACCTTCCCACACATGCTGAGATACGAAGTTGCTGTAATCTACATTTGCTATTATTAGATGGGGATGGGAGGGGGACTGGATACAATAAGTGTATCACATGAACCATTTTCAATAAGCTAGAATCATTTTTTTTACCCAACCACATTTAGTAATTTTATCCTATTAGAATTTTTAGTAAAGCACTTCAATGACTGAATTACTCAGTATGATTTTTGACATTCAGATTAATTCCCCTGCTGTTTCAGTATGTAATGCAATCTACATCACAACGAAACCATGGTAACTGTCACTTATTTTGCTATAAACTCAGGTCTTGAAATGATTTATACAGACCATCTGATTTTCATCCAATCACTAGTTTACAGTTTTTCTATGTTATCAATTCTCATAGCCACTTTGCTGGTTTTAAGGGCCCAATTTATGCAGAGCTATTTCGATTTTTATAGCTTAGGAATTTCAGACCAAAAATGTATTAACTGTGCTTTCATACTTCATTCCTCTTTCTTCTACACTGTACATTTACCCACAACTCTAAATTCAAATTTTCTGCTTTTCCATGACTTCATTTATACAGGGAGATGAAATGTGCCATTAAACAACAAAGAACACCACCAGCAGAAAAATCATCTTCTTCATGTTTAAGATATGAATTGAAAAAATGGATTGTATCTGCTCATAGGATGAGTCTTGAAAACTGACCATTAGGAAAGAAAATGTTTTATATTTGCATTTAACCCTCATTCAGAATTTCACCTCCATATTATAGCATTTCCTCAACTTTTCAGCAATTTTAGTCTTCAGCCTTTGGTGAACTACAAACTTTACTAATCCCTACTTTATTTGAAGTTTGTTCTATACAAGTCTGGGCTTATTAAGAGTGCTTTGTCTATGTCAACTATATGTCAGCTATCTTAATTTTTAAAAAAGTGCTCTGTCAATTTTCCCAAACCATTTTATATGGTAGCTCTGCCGTTTTGAATTTTAAGTGAGACTGCTCATGAGGAGAGACCAATTTTCACTTCTCAGAAAATGTGCTTTGCTCCCACTGTACTCCCGGAGTGCTCTGCACGTAGAAGGATCTCAATAAAGGCATCACGGCCTACTTCCTGTCTAGAGGAACAGGCACATAGTAAATCTGTCTCATCATTTGAAACTGGAAGAGAACAGACCAGAACAGTCCTACCCAGTACCTTCTTTCACAAACATGACCTGAATTTCCTCTTCTATATCCTCATCATTCTCAAGTCTAGCTGACTCTACAAGGTGATGGAAGAAAAGATTACTTCTACGGATAGTCAATTCTTCTGTTAAGACAAGTTAAGTAAAGTGCAAGAAAATAAAGGCTAACTTATTAAAAGTTCTCAAACTAAAGAGAAGCAACATTGGTATCAGTGGACTAAACCTCTACAAGACTCACAAAAGCCAGTCTTCATAATTCGTGGTTACCTCAGATGGTACCTACCTCTTATCAGGAGCCGCCCTGGAAAGATTCCGGTCATGCTGTCTCTCTTTCCGCCGGTCGTGCCTAATTTCATCCCTCTCACGTGCCTCCCCGTCCTCTGTGTGGGCAGAGTTGAAAATAACTTCATCACTACATTGCCCATGAATAATATGTTGAACAAGAGAATATGATCTTTAACCTGAGACAAAAGTGCCATCAACTTCATTGTGGTGACAGTCAGCCAATAATTTAAATCCAATAGTATTGGTTTAATTTTTGAATGTGAATTCCAGAATCATGCATGCAGCTTAAGTGCTTTAAAGTATTTAGGTAAAGTGTACTGATGTTTTTTAACTTACTCTGAAATTCATCAAAGTAGTAAGGTGGATTGAAAGACAGAGAGATGGTAGATATGTGGTAAAGCAAATTTAGCTACATTAATTATTAAAAAGAATTGTAAACTGTAGAATGTAGGTGAGAGATATGGGTGTTCATTTTACGATTCTTTCCACTTTTCAATGTGTTTTACAATTTTTGTAATAAACTGTCAGGAAAAAGAATTGTGTGTAAATTTACCCTTACATATTCAAAGACAGCTAGCTTTGCCTGAGGCCCACAGGGGCTGGCTGCATCCTGATCTCTATCTACTGTGTTTGTGTCTATCCTCATTTTTTCTGTTCTCTCCAGCCTGAAGGTACAGTGTAGATAAGAGCATGCGTATGGAGACAGCCCGTCTGGATTCAAATTCTGTTTCTCTAACAGATTGGCAATGTGACCTTGTGCGTGTTACTTAACCACTCGGAGCCTTAGTCTTCTTCTCTGTAAGAACAGTGACAATGCAATGCAAATAGTACCACTGCATTTGGTGGTTGTAGGATTATATGAGGTAATCCATGTAAAGTGCTCAAGTGATGCCTGCCGTGATAACCTCTCAATAAATGTTAGTTTGTATTAATACATAGCAGCAGCCTTTTCAAAAATTTAATTCATTTCTTAAGAAGAATTCTGCTGTTTTTTTTCTTATTAGTTTAGAGAACTTAGATACAGGAAAGTTTTACTTCTAATTACCTTCAGGGGTTACATGTGCGACAGGCAGGTATTTATATCTTTCCTCATTAAGTCATTTATATGTGGTTCAATGAAATGGATCACTACTTAAAATCCTGGTCACTTCCGTAGGGTTAAACTCCAGACTCCTATACTAATTGCCTGTTTGATTCCTACATTTTAAGTTTATCATGTCAATGTCTAAACACATAATTTCCTCCCAAACTTCTACATTGTGCAGCCTTCCCAATGTTAGTAAATGGCAACTCAATTGCTCCCAATTGCTCAAGTCGAAAGTTCTGGAGTCATTCGAGACTACTCCTTTTCTCTCATACTTCTACCCAATCTATAATAAGCAAATTCTGTCAGCTCTACCTCCAAAAATATATCCACTACCTGACCATGTTTTCACTACTCTCATCATCTCTTATCTGGATTAATGCACCAGCCTTCCAAAGGTTTCCCTGCCCATCCCACAGCCTTCTAACACATGTCAGATCATGTCACTCTGCTCGCAACGCTTCCATTGCTTCCTGTCTTACTCGAAGTAAAAGTTCATACTTTTACTTAGCTACACGTTCTCACGGGGGCTAAAATCATCTGGGCACCACTCTTCCTATTTGACCTAACGACTCTGACACCTCATCCCCTACTACTCTCCTTTCTCACTCCAACCCAGCCATTCTGGCCTCCCTGCATTTCCTTGAACACACCAGGCATATATCCAAGTCAGGGCCTTTGCACTTCTATTCCTTCTATCTGGGATGCTCTTCTCCTAGATAGACACATGTCTCACTTCCTTATTTCCTTCAAGTTTTCTGAGCTAATGTTACTATCTCAGAGGTGAGGCCTTTTGTGGCTACCCTCTCCTTCTGGCACTTTTATATCCCTTCCCTGGCTTTTTTTTTTTTTTTTAAAGATCTACTTATTTATTTAATACTTATTTTGAAAGAGAGGAAAAGGGAGGGAGAGAATCATCAATGTGCATGAGATACATCTACCAGTTGGCTTCTTGCATACCCCTAACTGGGAATCTAGCCGCAACCCAGGCACGTGCCCTGACCAGGAATAAAACCAGCAATCTTTAGGTTCACAAGCTGGTGCTCAATCCACTGAGCCACACCACACCAGCAAGGGCTGTTTTATAATTTTGCACAGTGACTATTACCTTCTAATACACTACACACTTAACTTTTCTGGGTCTGTTTATACTCCCTAGAATGTTTATTACTATACCCAGGCCCCACCCGTCTAGTAGTAGAAAACCTTGTATCTAGAAAACAACCTTGCACATAGTAGGTGTTCAGTATGAACTGAATGAATAAAATTGTACTAGTCAAGGATTAATAATAAAACAAAAACTACCCTCACAATTTTCTTGAATTAAAATTACTCTCCTCACTCTAAATGAATTAACATACCAGTGCAGACCACTAAACAAAGCAAGAGAAAAAATACAGGCAGATTTAACAATTAGAGATATATTAGCCTATAGGATAGAAAAACTCTGGGTTATTTTACCATATAGTGGAGCTAAATTATTCACATGGAGACTTCCTTCCTAAGTTTCAAGAAAAATTCAACAAGAAAAAACCAAGGTTATCATTTGAGTAATATGCAGTTTTTTAAAGTATATGGCTCGGAACTTTAAAAACTTCCACTGTAGTCTCATACTGAACATCTATACTTAAATACATAACTTTATTTTTTTGCTGCTTCAGCTTAATAAGGGAGAAGTTACTCTTGTCATTTCTACACAATTTCTAAAATACTACATTTTCTTTTTATGTATATGCTTTTGTATGCAGTAAGAATCAATAGAGATTTTCTAGAATGAAATACATATTTTTTACAAAATAATTCAATTTGGTAATGAGAATGTCATACCTTTTTCCACATGGGTTTTGATCCCAGCTCTTCTCTCCCTGGCTTTCTGGGCCATTTCTCTGAGTTTCTCTTCATGTTTCTCTTTTTCTTTTTGAGCCATCTTTCTCTCTACTTGAGCACGCATTTCCACAGCTTCACGAGCCTGTTAGTGAAGCCAGAAGTTAATCAGACACTATGGAGGGACAAATTACAGCTATTATCTAACTCCCTGACTGATGTCTGGCTTGAGAAAGCAGTTATACAGAATTCAGATTTGTTATTGTTTAGAACAAAGATTCTTGCCCACTAAAAGATAGCTTGACTAGAGTACACTACAAACTTGGATTTTACACTCTGGGAAATGTCTTAGTAGTTAAAACTATAGAACTCTCCCACTACACCGCCAAATTTTTAAAGTCAGTGCTTCATTAATGCTTTCTTAGCAATCCAAAAGAAAAAAAAATTAAATTAAAGATGATTCCAATTAAGTAATTTTCAATATCAATAACATAACAGGAACTGGTTATATTTTCAAAATCAATCAAGTCACCTCAAGATACGTAAAGCCTTAACCTACAAGAGAATTTTTTTAAGGGTGCTCAATGTAACACTTTTCTATATTCTAAATATATGCATGATTTATGTGATTTTTGAAGTCACGAATTAATTGTTAATATTAATTGACAGCCAATACTATGAATGCCACTGTCAGTACCATTTGACTCATCAAAAAGTTTATTTGTCCTTCCCTGCTACTGACCTTCTGGGGGACATCTACATCTAAAATAGAAGAAAATTATGAAACCTAATAACAGCAGCTGGCAATCTTTGCAAAATGGTATCAGTCTTTACTAGGCAGTCTATTACTCTGAAATGTGGTGAGGAAGTTGGGCCGCCAGAAGTGCGGGGTGTACCCGAGTCTATAGGCTGAGACCAGGCACAGAGCTGCAGCTAGCACCTGCCATCTCTGGCACTCATAATCACAGCTGAGTGTCTCTAGATACTCAGTACTGTAGCTAAAATAAGAGTCTTAAGGTACCCAAGAACGTATTTACAAATTCTCAGGAGCATTAGACAAATAAATTATAACAGGCCAACCTTTCGATCAGCAATGTAGAGGGCTTCAGCCAGTTTGGCAAAATTTTCATTGATGTGAACAGTCTGCAGTCCTCTTCCGTCAGCAGCCAGACGTTTGTCTAACGGAATTGTATAACCCTGGTGTGTGAAGCAGACAGAAAATGTCAGTCACAGAGGGACAACAATGATGTCTTTAAAATTATACTTAAATACGTCTATTCTGACAACCACTTAGCTGGAGTTCTTTTCCTTACACTTTTCTTCACAATTATGCAACAGCAGCAGCTAATACTGAGTGCTTTGTGTGGATGATGTTTAGCACTTCACACATTATGGTCTCATTTAACCTTCACAGTAACTCTCTATAAGACTGGTGACATTATTGTTTCCATTTCACAGATAAAGATACTAAAATAGAGAAGTTGGGTAATGTCCCCAAGGACATACAGTTAAATAAGTGGATGAGCTAGGATTTAAACTTGGTATGATTTCAGAGCTCACATTCTGGGAAAATAGATTCTCATGTAAATAACTGTGAATTGTAATAAAAGGAAACCACTATCAAACAGCTAAATATTTGTTCCTCAATTAAATGTAACAGTCACACAAAGGTGGAACAAATCACCAAAATAACAGTATCTATAGGTAATATACTCTGCAGTACCGTTTAAATGTTTTGTCAGATTTTTGGAACCTTGTAAGATTTAGTAAATGGAAAAAAGATAAAGTCTGCTAGACAACTGAGATTCTGTGTTCTGAAATTTTGCATCCTATTTCAACAATTCAAGAAATATGCTTGAACATCCATGTAACTTTCAGACTTAGCTGTGTTTTTCCAGATTTCTAACTAGACTCCCAAATGTTGACCTCTAGTCCAAGGTGTTTATTTCTGATACAAGGAAGTGTTATAAAAATCAGCTCAAAATACCACATAGTTCCTACATATTAATCACCATAATTAAACCACAGGACAATTCTTTTTAGGATGAGTATAGAACTTCCTCTAGGGAATAATTTATGAGTACATGTAATCCATGGGTTAAAGTGGTCTTCACCCATCCAAAACAGAATCATGAAATAAAGAAATAATGATTAGGAAGATTATTTCACATCACTTTATAGAGTTCTGGAAGCTTTGGCAGTTAGTACAATAGATATATAGGATTTAAATAACTTATACTTGCAATGCTATGAACAGAAGCAAATAGCTTAAAAAATTGAAGCACTAAATATATCTCAGTATTCACTGTATTTGTCATATAATCATTTAAATTGACTTAATTTTTTAAAAAATAATTTTAGATATAAATTTGAGTTTCCTAAAAAGTACTATCTTTTATTGATGTGTTTTTTTTTAAAGATTTTATTTATTTATTTATTTTTTTTAAGAGAGGGAAGGGAGGGAGATAGAGGGAGATAGAGATAGAGAGAGAGAGAGAGAGAGAGAAAGAGAGAGAAACATCAATGTGCGGTTGCTGGGGGTTCTGGCCTGCAACCCAGGCATGTACCCTGGCTGGGAATCGAACCTGGGACACTTTAGTTCCCAGCCCGAGCTCAATCCACTGAGCTACGCCAGCCAGGCATTGGTGTGTTTTTTTAATTCTACCTATTCCTTCTCTATGTGCTTCTGATGACTAAGAATCTATGGTATTCATGTCCCTGGCAAACTACCATTTCTATTACATTTTTTCTATTTTTAAAAAAGGAAGAAAAATCACCTAAGTTGGGTGTTCCTTTAAGAAAACATTCAGCTAAGTGAGACACTTAGGTTTTACCTGAAGCTACCTAGGCCAAAGCTCCCTCCTGGGTGTTTTCCAGTAGGTTCTAATACTAAGAGACTGATTTTATAACAACTTAATTACCTTTGCATTTTTCCAGTTTGAAATACAAGGAGGAATCTTCCACTCTTGTTGTTCCTTCACAGTCATCTGAGTTGAGAAAAGAACAGAAGAGGAGACACTTTTAGATTTATAGTCTAGCTAAAAACCCAGGTGTACTCTTTTTCTTCAAAGGCAGATAGATGGATGAATTTAGTCAAAGGCTAATTTAGTCAAAGGCTTATTCCATTTATTTGATAGCACTATTTTCTATGTTCCTTTTTACATGGAGTCTAGTAATAACTTTAATATAAAAATGGAAAATAATTTAAGTTATGTTTGACAGTTATAAATGCTGGTTAGTATTTTTCCATATTTAAAGAGATGTGACTTCTTTCAGATGAGTACTTGTTCTGTTGGGTAATAAAACATACTAAGAAAAGCCACTCAGATTATCAATTAGAGGCCTAACGATCCCAGGTACGCCCATCCTATAACTATAATGACACTCTTCATGTCAGCAGGCCTTGTTCATTCCATTAAAAGCAGGTGTTAGGTTAATAATAAAACTAACAGCTAACATTTTACACATATTTTCACAAGCACTCTGGAACTATACATTACAGTCTTGAGTGGGTTCCTATTTGATCTTGAAAAACAAATTAAAAAAGAAAACAACACACAAATGTAGTGAAAGGTACTTGTATAGCCATACAGGCTTTATTCTATGCAAAGTTATTTATAGAATTAATAGTCATGAATACAAAATAAGATTTTACAAATGGCAAAGATTACCTTTCGGCTAGGAGAATGCATGACAGGTGCAGGAGGAGAAGGTGGTCCTCGGGGAATTTTCTTATTAATCCTGATGTACCAATGAAAGCACAGAGTGTTACAGTTTTTTCCCTTCTAGCTTTTTACTTTAAGTCTCAAGTCTCCCCTCCTCATTTTTTTATTATGTAAAGCTTTAAATACATACAAAAACAGTGTTTAATGAATGTCCATCTTATAATACACCAATCACTTAGCTTCAACAATTATTAAAACATGGTCAACCTTGTCATCATCACTACCTAGCTTATCTCCACAATTTTGTTGTAATTTCATAGAATAACATACCTTTTCCCACTTAGAAAACAGCTTTATTAAAATACAACTGACATGCAACTAATTATACATCCATATTTAAAGTGTACAACTTGATTCAGTTTCAATACAAGTATTTACCTGTGAAACCATTATCAGTCAAAATGAACACACCCAACATCTCCAAAAGTTTCTGTGTGCCCTTTTTTTTTTAAAAAAAGATTTTTATTTAATTTTAGAGAGGGGAAGGGAGGGAGAAACATCGATCGATCAGTTGCCTCATGGTACAGGCCCCAACTGGGGACTGAACCACAATACAGGCATGTGCCCTGACCAGGAATTGAACCAGTGACCTTTTGCTTTGCAGAATGATGCTCAGCCAAATGAGCTACACTGGTCAGAGGTGTGCATGCCCTCTTGTTCTCATCTCCTTTGTCCTCCCCTTTATCCCCATAGGCAACCACTGATCTATTTCCTGTCACTGCAGATTAATTTGCATTTTCTAGGGTTTTGTAAGAACTGAATTATCCAGTATGTAATTTTTTTGTCTGGCCTTTAACTCAGCATAATTATTTTGAGATGCATTCATGTTACTGTGTGTATTAAAATTTATTCCTTTTTATTGATCAATAGTATTCCATGTATAGAAGTCCTACAATTTGTTTACCCATTTGCCTGTTAATGTACATTTTTCTCCTTTGACATCTTTTTTAAGAATAGTGGTTCGTTCCCATGAAGCCACCTACTTACTTGAACCTTGGAGGCTCCATTGGATCTTTCTGCATTTCCACCATCCGAATAACCCTTTGCTTTGCTCCAGAGTTAAAAGCCACTCCTTGCTGAGATGGTGTGTATCTGAAAAATACAGATGAAACTAAAGGTATAGGTAGATCAAGCTTTCCATAAGCATTTTTCTGCTATTAATTCTTTCACAAAGTATTATTAGAAAATTGCAGAGCAGATAGCAATGCAGGTAAGAGAACTAATAGCAATTATGAGTTACAAGCAAAATGTAAACTAAAGTCATATTAGTGCCAGTAATCCATCTCTGTCCACTTTCCACCATGGATGGCACCACGTTCAATTTCACAAATAAGAGGTCTAGAAAATAGTACCTATTTTTTAAGTCTGCATTTGAGGAAAATATGATCCATAATATTCTCAGCAGGCAACTTACAGTTTGGAGCTTTTGACTAATTACAGGCTGTAAGCAGAGAAAGAATAATGGAAGCAGCCCTACAAACTCTTAATTTTCCCGTAACATCTACTTGTGAGTCATCTTTCCACATAAAGGTTTAATTGAGTGAAACCCCTTAAAATCTGAAAAAATTATAAGGATGTTTACTATTATATAAATGATATTAATACAATATTATCAACATTATATATTATACTATTATATAATAGCACTATATTATATAATGTTACCAGTATGCTAATATTTATACCCTATAAATATTATGTAAATATATATCTACTATATAAGTGGAAAACCATAAGTAATAATTGTGGTTTGAATCATATACTCTAAGTAACCGTTATTTTTCTAAAAACAAAATATTTTGAAAATAGCACAACTGGTATCTTAAAAGTAGTACCTTAAGTTTTTTCTTTTTCAACTGTCTACACAGAGTCAACAGGCTTGAAGTGATTATTTAAAAACTGTATTTACAATTGTGACTAGGACAGGGAAAGAATACCAGGATCCCCAAGTCCAACCAAGTCTGACATGAAACTAAGACTCCCAGACACAAGTCATACCTGATATACTGAGCAGGGGCCAGTTTATCAGCTGCTCGAACTGGCATGGCCGCAGCAACCTTCTGTGATACAGATTTTTCTAAGGCCACCCTTGTCTTTTCTGTTATCTGAAACACGGAAAACCACATTGAGTGGTCTGGAATCTAATAAAGATGTAAAGCATCACCTAAAATAATTCTATATGGCAATTCCCAGTTACCTCTTTAATAGCTTCTTCATCAGGCCTTTGCAGGTCTGGGTCATCTGCATTCATGACTTCTTTGGGAACCAGGTCAGTGTACTTACTATAAATGACCTGAAATGTTCAAACACAAGCAGACTTAAGAAAAGCAGAGAATGAAACAAAACAAAACAAAAAAAACCCCCCACTAATTTATTTCAGAAGTCAACATGTCCTCTCAGCAAATGCATAAATTTAGAACAAATATTTTGTCTTCTAGATTTTAAAACCAAAGAAACGTAAAATAATATACAAATTATTGCCTTGGCTATATAAGTTAATAATTTTCCTTTGACCTCATGCATTTAAATTATTTAAGATCCAAATAAATTGTGCCATCAAAATCTTATGCATCAGTGATCCCTATATTTGAGGCTCACTAGGACTTGAAATTAATGATGATATAAACTGCCTATAGGACCATTATTTTGGTACAAACTCATCAGAATTTAAGTCAGGTTACCAAGTACTTCCAAATTCACTGGGCCTGGAAAATTTCATTGACTCACTCTACTTATAATGTTTGTTTCTTTCTGGCATTTAATCGATTCATAGCAAGAAAAGGAGCATGTGCCATTGTTAAAAACCTTATAACATGAGATTTTTGACATTAAAAAACTCCTTAAAATACATTCTATATATACAGCTTGTTTTATATTCATTATCCAAATTCAGGACTGCTATGTGATTTCCTCTAGACTCAGCATGGTTCCCATCAGGCTGACACTGATGTGGTAGACCCCTGACAAAAAATAAAATCTTACTTTCGTGTCCATTTATACTTCTCAATACTCTCATAAAAACTTACACAACAGATTTTATAGAAAAAAAAAAAAAGAGATACTGGAAATTTAACAAATAGCCTTCTACATTTTGCTGCCTGAATCAGGGAGTCTTTGATACACATAGGAAGGATAACTTATGAATATATATTATGACCAAATTTCTGGGTACTTGAGATCTTTAAAATTTTTTTGCAAAAAACCCTTACTACTATAAACCAAAGTCTTATATCAATAATTGCATTGTATCACAACATTCCTTAAAACTGCTAAAGGAAATGCATGCTATTCTTAATTTCTTACTCTAAACCAGAGAAAAAATACTTTATGACCCATATACAACCTGTTCCGGTTTTGCCTACAGCTTCAGCCTCCTTCTGTACCTCTTACTCCCTCCTTCATTGCACTGCAGTCACATGGGCTCCTCTTTTTTGAACACAACATGCTGTTCCCCAGTTCTAGGCACCCCCTGGCTACCCTCACTAACACAGCTAATCATTCAGTGTCACAGCGCTCTGTTCACTGTCTTCAAAGCTCTGCTCTCAGTATAAAATTACTCATCTATTTTACTGTTTATCTGTGACCCCTATTAAAGTAACAACAAAAGCTGACATGTAGTAAGCACTTATTTTGTGCCTCTGTTCTTTCGCTTTATACATATTAACTAACAACTTTCATATCAATACTATGAGATAGGCACAATGATTATACCTACATTACAGATGAGGAACCTCTTATTCGCAAAGTATCTCCAGTGCCTGTAACAATGTCTGATCCACAGGAGGCATTCAGTCAGTATTTTTTTGTACAAAAGAAGGAATTTATGAATTTTAGAGTTGCTCTATCCCATGCTGAAGGTGAGTATATTTTAGGCCCTGCAGAATGTTCTATAAGCTGTTAATTTCCCAGAAGAAAACTCTCTCATGTTGAGAGACTAAAATCTCTAGCTTGTTTTTCTCAGGAATTAGACAAGGGATCAGGTAAGAAGCAGAGATGATTTACCACAAAACATGTACTATGTGTGAGCTGGAGTGCCACCAACCTCTGAGTGTGCATTTTAGAAGTGACCCTAAAGCTCACTCCAGTTGAGAAGAGTGAGGCTCGGTGCATGAAGATCAAGCAGCTAGTAACTGACCTCCAAAGTCTCATTTTTCACCAGGATGAAAAAAATCCACACGATAAAATTTAAAGTTATACAGCATTCTCTAGAAAATAATAGCAGACTATGAAGGGTTAATTACTTTTACAGAGCAATCATTACAGGAAGAGATTCTAAGTAAATGGCTCCCTGGTAGTCATACATGCTCAACATAAAGTTTCAATACTAATTTAGCATACAAGAGCCATTTGCTGCTTCTTATTTGGGTATTCCAAAGTTAATAACCCTTTAAATGAGCGTCAGTAAGATTCTAGCAGCTCAAAGCTAAGCGAAGGACGTCTGAATGAGCAAGATTCCTCCATGGTAATTAACATAAACCCCCAATTTTTATTGTCAGAGAACTGAATGTGCTGAAGAAATTCAGTACCTCCCAGGAGGCAAAGGGGCTGGGGACAGTTATCTGAAAAACACAAAAAATTCCTGAAGGTATCAGGAGCACAAATGAGCTTTATGAAAAGATAAACCAATAACTCATCTGTGGAACAAAATTCTTTTTAATTACTGAAAGCTGGCAAAGAACTGGACTGATTAAAGGAAATGACTATAAACATAGTCTTGCTTATAGAATATGTTTATGGTTATTAACATATGTGCATTATAACATGTTATGTGTGTATGGCTATTAACATAAGGGCTGTATGGCATAGCCCTTATGCACTTCAGAGGAAGAAAGAAAACACTACCTTTAGGTAAAGCCAGTTTGTGAAGTCACACGAACAAGGTAATAAATAGCATACAAAATCATCTTGGGGTTAAAGTTGTTGGATTTGGGGAGGCAGGAGAGGTTGAAGGCATCTTTTAGGTAGTATCATGGAACATTTCCCTATGGAACTATTTTGGAAGGAAAAATGTAAACACAAAGGCTTTTTATTTTAAGACTTATCACTCAAGTTACAATTGAAAAATATCTTGGTAGTTCTACCAAGATTTACTTCAAGAAATGTTTTCCCTCCCCACTTTGTATTACCATTAAGTCTTGCACACAGTATTTACTTTACACGGATAATAGATCAGTGGCCTTAGACTTGCCCTAGAATATTATACCTTGGAATCCTGCCTTGTTCTTCACCTCTTATACCTAGCGTTAGCATTTCCATTCTTGTTCTTCTAATGTTTCATTGAGAACTCTCTGGTTTCTGAAGAATACTGATTCCTCTGATATAAATCAGAAATATTTGTACTATACTACAAATTCAATAATCCAACAAACTATATAAAGAACTAGGCATATTAGCTTCCTGAATAAGATTTTTAAAAACTCATTTTGTATTTAGTAGCCAATTCCTTCTTCTAAATGAGAAAAGCCAGTGATTTTAAAATAGAATACTACTGCCACTTCCAACTCCCCTCTCCAGGCCTTTGTAAATATGAGAGTTATGTCTGGCTAAGTCAATGGGGATGGCATTTAAAAGGTAGTGCCAGTTACGTTAAATGTTATACAATGCTGAAGACAGTCCCAAACAATCAAGAAGTGTCCTGAATGCCAAATGCCAATGCATAATGGCTACTCAGTTAATGTCAAATTATTAAATGCATTAAAAACTCCATGTTAATTTATCCAATTAAAAAAATTAAAGTACATATTGATTAAACCTATATAAAGAATTTAACTGTATACTCCAGGGCATAAAGTCCAGCAAGGAAATACATCCACCTGAAACAATGTTAGAACAGTCAAGGGAGTCCCTCTATTCAGTATCTTTCTTCTTACATTCACTGAATGCTCTATTTGTTTTTTTAAAGAATCTTCATTGTGCTCTTTTGTAGCTGTTGGTTTTAAGACCTTGTTTTTAAAGCAGTTTTGGGTTTACAGCAAATTAAAAGGTGGAGCTTTTATACCCTGTCCCTACACATGCTTAGATTCTCTCATTAGGGTAAGGATTATTAGGAACCTGAGAGTGATCCCTCTATAAACTACTAGTTTGGGGTTCATTTCTGGTGCTTGCACTATGGCAAACATGTAAGGCTTTCACTGTATAAAGGAACAACTCTTTAGAGAGCAAAATCTAAAACAGTTCAGTTTTAACATTTCTACTCTACTTTTAATACAAAATAATCATCAACACACATGGTCATTAAAGAAGGAAAAAAACTTCCAGATATTCTCTGGAAATCCGACAAAAATTTGTGGTTGCCAGTCTTGGAATAAAATGCAAAATGGACTGAAACTGTATTTCACTCAAAATTACATGACCTGCCAATGCCAAATTATTGTCCTAAAATGCTTTTCCCTAACATGAGAGAGGAGAGGCAGCACATATCAATACGTAGTGATCATTCCAAAGATGGAGAGATACACCAGAACAAAGGCAGCTGGAGTGAGGCCTCCATCACACAGGGTAAATTTTGTGTCTGTCCTGCATAGGCAGGGACCTGTTTTTCCTGTTGCAGGAGTGGGCTATGCTTCCTTACTGGGTTCAGAAGTGGTTTTCTATTATTCAATGAAAACTGCTATCATTCCTTCAACAAACACTGGAGAATGCCTGTGTGTCAAGGTGTCAGGTACTAAGTTAGGTGCCCAAGAGGAAAATATAATCACTGACCTCTAAGAGCTTACAGCCAATGACAGACCACTAGTTAATGAATAATTACAACAAAAGGTGATGACTGCTATGATAGAGTAAATATAGGGAATAGGGAGGAAGATTCCTAATCTAGCCAAGGAAGATCAGGGTGGGTATCCTGGAATAGTGAAGAGCAAGCTGTAATTTGAAAGCAATAGTTGTTTAGTTAAGACAAAGAATAGGGGGAGGGCTTTTCTCAGCACAGGGCTTCTGGGGGGCAGGTGTGGAGTGTTCCCAAGGTAAGAGAGAATGTACCATACTAGAACTGCAAGTAGTTCCTCGTGGTATATAGGGAACACTTGGAAGTTATTTCTTCTTTAACAACCACCTACAATGGTGGTTATTTTGTATTGAAAATAAATAGAATGGCTAAAACTGGACTTTTTATTTTTGGAGTTCAGTTTTCTAATCATGAGAGCTGAAGCTAGGGTATAGGGTAGAAAGGTAAACAAGGGGTCAAGTATGCCATAAGGACCTTGGCTGGTTCTTATCCTAAAGGCTGTGGAAAGATTTCAAGTACACAAGATTTCAAGGAGAGAAAGATAAACAGAGAAACATGGATGTATTTGTTTTTTCAGGTAGGCAAAGACAAATGCCAAGAAGATGGGTTCAGATTCTGCTGCAGTAACTTAAGCAAAAAATGATAAGGGCTGAACTAAGTGGCAGAGAAGGGAATACACTTGAGAGGTGTTAAGAAAATAAGATAGATCATGGTGCCTACACAGATGGAAGGTCTGAGGGAAACATACAAAAATGGAATGATTGTTAAGCAAAGGCTTTTTATTAAAAAGATTTTATTTATTTACTTTTAGAGAGAGGGGCAGGGAGGGAGAAGGAAACAAATATCAATGTGTGACAGATACATCGATCGGTTGCCTCTCGCATGCCCGCAACCCAGGCATGTGCCCTGACTGGGAATCAGACCTGAGACCTTTCGGTTTGCAGGTAAGTGCTCAATCAAGTAAGCCACAGGAGCCAGGACATAAGCAAAGGCTTTTTAGAGAACATACTGGCATATGTGTCACACTTGAAATCTGAGTATTCTTGGACCCAGTAAATCCAATTTATTTTATACAAAAATATTCACGTGCAAAAGATGTTTGTATATGTGTCTTGAATTAAATAGTGTTTACAAAACTAAAAAAATGGAAACCACCAATGCTTAAATTAAAAAAAATTAGGGGACAAGTGCACCATTGAATTCTATATAAATTTTTAAAAAAATGAAGTGGACCTATGGATACTAACATAGATCTTCAAAATCTATTTTTAAGTAACAGAAAGCAAGTCTATGGGAATTATGAGTATTAAAATCTTATTCATGCAAAAAAGATATATACGTTTGTGTGTGTGTGTAAAGTGGGAATACATATACATATATACCTATAACCAAGGTCTGGAAGGCTATATATCATTGTAGTAACAGTGGCTACCTCTGGGAAGTGGGAGAAGTAGGCAGGACTGTATATACTTTTGTAGTACTGGTATCTTTTACCATAAGAATATATTGTTATTGTGATTTTTTTTTAAATCATTAAATAAAAGGGAAAGAACAACTCCCTGGCTTTTAGTATAGTCAATTAGGAAGGTACCAATGAATTAAAGAATAAGAAAGGTAGATTAAGTGAAAAATTATGCCTTTAGCTCATGCCTTAGGATTTTGCTTTTAGAGAGAGGGATATGCTTAGGATATGCTTTTAGTTATGCCTTAGGATTTGAGATAATACTTGGGGAAATCTGGATAGATTTGCCGTTACAAGGGCCTAGAGCCCAGGAGAGAAAACTGTGCAGACACAGATTTGACGGTCATCAGCACACGAGTGACATTTTAGCCAAGGGAATGAATTACCTTAGTCAAAGAGAACGCACTGTGAGAAAGAAAAGTCTTAAAGACCTTCACCAGAGATCTATCTCAGCAGACTGGTTAAGGTGAAGCCGTACCACAGGGAAGAAGCAACGAGAGCAGAACACAACTTTTGCAAGAAGCTTGAAGGAAAGGGAAGAGAATTAGGTGGAAATCTGGCAGTAGGTAGAGGGAGCCTTAAGGCAGTCAGAGACAAACTTTTCTTTCAAAAGATGAAAAAAGCAAGCATAGTCAAATGCTAACAGGAAGGAGCCAGCGGAAGAGAACTTAAAGGTATAACCTTAAGAAGAATAAAGAAAAGGTGGTGTTATAAAGGGAAGGGAAAGGGATGAGATTAAAAAACAACAACACTAAAATACATGTGGCAAGACTAGGTTTAGGTAGGAAAGGAGATTTTCTTACAGAGATGAAAGGAAATGTCAAGACTAAAAGACAAGAGCAGGATAAAGAAAGCTGACAATTTTCCTACGGTATGGATATGGAAATAGAGAGGGGACAGACAGGAGAAGGAGTTAAAAGTTGGAGAAACACCAAGGGAGCCCAGTTGAAACCTGAGATATACATTGCCTGACTGCATAACTGTTTTCCAAAAAACTCATCAGCCAGGACTAGGAACAAAGGATGGGTTACCATCCATGCTATTTTAGAGGGTAAATAAAACCAGGAAAGAGATCGAGCCAGGTACTGAAGGCTCTTAAGTATCTTCCCCAATATCTTCAACTCTAAAGAAATCTTTTACTTCTATTTGGAGCATTTAGTTATGAGAAAAACAAAACAAAACAAAACTAGGTCTTCTTAAAACAGTTTCTTGCTTAAGTGTAGCCATTCTGGGATGAAATTATTTTAAGTACGTTTTATTTTTGGTCTTTGAATTACTTTATAAGCAGGGCCATCCTAAATCTGGATACCAAGTACCAGTTTTATACTTAACCGAGGAAAAAAGAAGTCTGTGTAATTATTATAGCCAAATGAACTATAAAATAGCTAAGTATCTATGTATGTACGTACTCTGTAAGTATATGAGAGAAGATACTTTAGGCAAAATTATATATGGATTTATATTTAAAAAAATTTGCTAGCATTTAAAAAAGGTTAGCACTATAAAATAATTGTTTTAAAATGTAAAATAAGGAAAAACCTAAGCATACATAAGCTATCATCAATTTGGAAAATTTCAAAGGAAAAAGTCATTGCTGTTATGAAATCATAATGTCATGTTCATATTGTTATGAGGCCCTATCTTCAGTTAGCCTAAGTAAATTTCACTGCTACCTTTAACATAAACTAAATGGACAGAAATTTATTATTTCAACACACTTAAAAAAATTCTTCACAAAATAATTATCAATGGGGAAAAAACAACTGAGGATTACCTTGTCTTTTGACTGTCCTTGTCGAGCAATTGCATCATATTTAATTTTTCCTTCAGCATCCACCTGAATGGCCAGCGCATTTGACATTTTTTTCTTCCGTCCCATATCCAGTGGATACTGGGCCACATGGATCTCTGGAAAAGCACCTCCATCTCCAAAATCCTATGTATTGAAAAGAAATAAAAAATATAATAGTAATTTGAGAATCAAGTTATACTCATTCATTCACCAAATAATGACAAAGCTTTTATTATGCAAGAAGCTAGAGGGGTAGCAATAAATAAGACAGTTTTCTAATCTTGGGGAGTGTATACTCTACTGGGTAAAGATACAAAAAGCATAATCTTTGGCTTGTGATAAATGCCTTGAAAGTAACCAAGACTGGAAGAGGGGCTACCTTTGATTCTATGGTTGGGACTGTCTTTGTGAAGCGGTAAGGTGAACTAAAGCCTGAATAATGAGAAGTCAGTCATGGGAAGACCTGAGGGAAGCATCTTCTAGGCAGATCAAACTGCAAGTGTGAATGCCTTGCTGCAAGGATAAGCTTAGCACGTTCTAGGAAACGAGAGTCCAGTGGGGCCATAGCTTATTGAGGACAGAGGACCAGACACATAGGTGATAAGACAAACACTAAATTATGGAAGGGCTTCTTGATCATGGCAAAGAATCTGGTTTTTATGTATCTGGCAGAGAAAAATTAAGCAAAATGTTTAAGAGAAGGAAAAGATTTTTAGTTTTAGCATAAATAATTTTTTTAGTGAGGAATAGGTCAAGCTACAGTTATGGCAGAAATATAAGAATTTTTTTTCTTGGAACCAGTTTTAATAACATGATATTAGTATTCAGTATTCCATGAGAAGCAAACAAATAGAATAGGAAAAAATAGAAATAAGCATTATCACATTTCTAATGGTGATTATATATACAATTATTTAGGAGAACTAAGACTTTTAAAGTAGAACAACCTAAGTAAAGTCTGTCAATGAAGTTTAATATAAAAAAAGCTATGCTAACATCAAATAAACATGAAAGTTAATATAATTTTGTTAAAATAATATTTGCTTATTACATTACTATAATTTACAAAATATAATTTATACTTATATTATTTCATTTAATTCTTATAATTCTTCAAAACCTCCTATTTTCATATGGGAAAAATTAGAGTTTAGAAAAGCTAGGGGATTTTCCAGAGGTCTCACGGCTAGCATATGCAGGACTTGAACCCAGCTCTTTTGACTCCAAAACAGCCTCTGTATTTGCTGTTGAATTGAAACACTTTTCTTTTAGCTCAAAAAAAAAAAAAAAAAAAAAAGGCAAATCACTACTAAGAAATGATAGGAAAACATATTAAAATGAATCATTTAGAGAGAGTTTGATGAAAATAAGTTATTAAAAGAACCACTTTTATAAGACCTCACCCTTCAAGAAATATTTCAGTAAATCACTGATATATGATTCCCTAGGTAAAATATGCATAATTGCTAAAAAAAAAAAAAAAAAAAAAAGTTTGGCCTTTTTAAAAGCAAACAATAAAGCTGATGGAGACATTTTCTTACAAATTAGGCAGAAACAGTTAAAGCATTTCCAAAGAAGGTGCTACCTGTACCCAGACCATCAATCTCTCACATGCTCAGATTTGCTAGGGTCCTTTAGCTACAATAAGCACCTCAGAACTACAGACGTGACATTATATGGTCATTAAGCTTGCCAGAAAATCAGAGCTTTTACTTTGAAATCTAGAACAAAATGCTTTCTTCTGCAGAACACTCACTCCCCTTGAGAAGCATTCATGGTATTTCAAGATTAGCTGGCCATTTTGGTATGATTTTCAAATAAACTGTTCTGTTCCACCAGGATATATGGAACCTCTGAGAGTCAAGTTAAGAGTTTAAAAAGCTAATAGTTCTTGAATATCATAATGCTGAAATGGAAGCAAGGATGAGATTTCTGTTGTATGTAAAATAATGCTTGCCACCTGCAATCTTTGAGGCCAAATGAGTATCTATAATACCTCAAAAAGAGACACTCAAGTCCTTTATTAGATATGCCAATCACTACCTTTTTACCCCATACTAGTCTCCTTGGTACTCTTTTCTTTTGCTCTGCTTCTCACAAATTACACTATAAGCAAAAACAAAAGCAACAACAAAAATCATTTAAGATGGGCCTTCATATTCTAATATTACTAAGGGCCAGAGAACAGCTGAGGAAAAAAAAAACACGGAACATTTTAGAAGACATGATCTAGTTGCATGTTCCTCTTCTAGATTTACATGGAGTTCTGGTAGGCAGGGGGCATGACAAACATGGGACAGGTATGACAAACATGGAACAGGCTGAGAATACAGATGGCTTCTTGCAGGGTGCTAAGCAACAAGTTTCAATCCAATGAATACTTAGTTCATTCACTATGATTATACTTGGAGACACATGGAAAAAAGCTATGGGCATAAACCCTTCACATGTGTAAAAATCATAACCATATGACAGAATATAAAAAAGTGATAAAATGAAAATAACTGGGTGCAAAAATAAATGGTATAGGCAACTAAAGATTTTTAACAGGGCAGTTATTCCTTGGGACACGAAAGAGGAAAATCTGCAGGAGTCAGAATGAATTTTGGGAGAAGAAAAAGGCTTGATGATACAGAAGAGGTCTTGGGGAGGCAAAATGAATTAAATATCAAATGTTTGCTTTTCCCCCCTAGATTAAAGAAGGGGACAAGTATGGGAAAGTGTGCCTTGGAATTAGGGAAAGGAATATGCATTGAACTGATGTACAGGATCTTGAGTAGTCAGGAGGATAGATGCTGCCAAAGAAGTTTATTACTTGCGTACAAGCTAAATATATAAAAAGATCATTCTAGATTCTTTCCTACCCCTTCATGCCTCCAAATCAACCATCAAATTCTCTTATACCTCTTAAAAATTTATCTAATATGTACATTAGGCATATATTAACATTCTCAAAATGAAGACAAGACAACAGATGAAAAAAGTTAGTATTGGCCTGGGGTCACACAAATAGTAACACTGTATGATGCAAAACCAGTTTTGTTTTTTAAGCTCCTTGTCAGTGCTCTCTCCACTATACCCAATGGGAAAGAAATTGGAAAAAGGAACACCGTGGAGTTTTCCAGGGAGGACGGTTGTCTCTTTAGGGTTATATGGTGTTGCGCATGTAGGGAGGAGGAGGGAGGGAAAAGTATCCAAACATGAAATCATTCTTTCATTTTTTTCCTCTCTTACTTTCCCATTATTTTCCATATGCTATAATCCCTAGATTTATGAAAAGTATACTAGTTTCTTTTGTACATGTTTAATAGTTTGGCAGTAAGAAGAGATATAAATCAGTACAATTCTCCAGTGATCACAAAGCAGTGATGATAATAAGAAGAAAAAGATTAATCTTCTAAGAGAAGTAAATATATGTCTTGAGAGGTTGCAACCAGAATTTCTATCATACTTGACACTCATGTGTGGAGATTCTAGGGTTTAAATTTATTTTACAAAGGTACTACAAAGTATGTCAGCACGATTTAATAAATCCAAACTGAAGGCCCATACTTACCTCTAATAACCGAGGTATCCAGCCCTTCCGGTACCCGTATGGGGGAGGTTCCCTGCGGGACGACACCAGCGCGGTCTGTCGTGATCTCTGGGATCTTGCCTTTTCTTCAGCCTCAAGCTGGTCCTGAGACAGCTGAGTAGGTGCAGGTAAAAAGCTATAAGCAAAGATAATAAAAGTCAGATTGTAAAAACTCTTACAATGAATTTGATTATTGCAATTTGGCCACCAGAGACTGTTTTCCTGCAAGACTTTCTCCTTTGAGTGAAAGTGCAGTTTTTGATATCTAAGGCAGAATTCATTAGTCATTTTGGTATGCCTGGAAAGAAATAAGTACTCAGAGACATACAGTAAAAACACTTGACTAGAAGGCAGGCAAATGGTACCCAGAAACAAAAATTAACAGATGTTTCACATATTAGACAAACTATTGAGTTTTTATGCTTCCAGTTTTCATTTCAGGTAACAAGCAAGTAAACATTCCCAGTTACCCAGAGGCCAACAGTCTAGCAGCATATGATTTTCTTAGTGTCTCTGCTCATACTCATTTTTAACTATTTTACTCCTGTGCATCTTACTTTTAACTATTTTAGTGTCAATATAAAACAACAAAGATTAGAACTGAATCTAACAAAGAGGATGATAAGAGAAAGAAACACAAATTGCCTAATTAAGTGCGATTTCACAAGGGTATTTAGTTTAGAAAGCAATTTAAAACTTAAGAGATCAGCCCTGGTCGGCGTGGCTCAGTTGGATGGGCATCATTCCCACAAAATGGAAGATCGCCCACTCAGTTCTGGTCGGGGCACATGACTAGGCTGCGGGTTTGTCCTTGTTGGGATGTGTGCAAGAGGCAACCAACTGATGTTTCTCACATTGAAGTTTCTCTCCCTCTCACCCCCTTTCTAAAGTAAATAAATAAATAAATCAATTTTAAAAACGAAGTAAATAAAACTTAAGAGGTTAGACTTAGAGCCTAAGGATGTAATTTGTCCTTCTTTTATCCAAAACAGCCTTTCTACTAAACCAGTGATTTTTCAACCTTTATCATCTTATGGCACACATAAACTAGTTATTAAAATTCCGTGGCACATCAAAAAAGATATTTTTTGTTAATCTGACAAAAAAAATTATAATTTTGACCCATTCACACCGGAGGGCTACTGTTGGGTTGGCTGTTGTCATTTTTTAATTTGACAATCGCAGGGGCGTTCAACCTGTAGCCCATGGGCCACATGCAGCCCAGGATGACTGTGAATGCAGCCCAACACATAATTGTAAATTTACTTAAAACGTTATGAAATTTTTTTGCAATTATATGTTAAAACTATCTAATATCTATGCCACTTACTGACCTGGATAAGCTATTCACCTCTCTGAACCTGTTTTGGCAGATCAAAAGACTACCTACATCATAGGGTTGTTATAAACTTTGATAAAATCCACTCAACCTCTGTTCCATAAACATTTGTTATTTGGAGCTGTTCTGATTCCCCGTTTGAGTTAGTTGCCCACATCCCTTCTTCAACAAGGCCCTTTGTGTGCCACTACTATAACACTATCTTACTGTACTGCAATACTTTCTTCATTTACCTTTTTCCCCTCTCCCACTAGACTGTAAGCAACTTGAGGACAGGAATCAAGCCTTCTGCTTCTTTCATCCCTAATTCTTCTGGCATTGTCTTGTTCACAGCAGAGGCTACTGAAATGTTTGCAGGAGAAATAAATTCACTCTTACTCTTCACACTCACCATCTTATGTCACTATAGCCTTCTTGCCTTTCCTAAAGCCATCTTAGGATCTTTACTTTTGCTATTACTCCTCCTGCCATAAAACAGTTTATTTACGTACTAAGAACGTAATAGTGCTGTTATAGAAAATTCTTCCCCAGATCTTTATTGAGTGCTTGCTTCTTGGCATTCATGTCTCTGCTCCATTACACCTCCCTAGAGCTGTTTTATGACCACTTTGTCCAAACCTCCACCTCACATCTTTATTTTATTCTTAATACTTACTACCTAATTGCATTAATAATTTATTTACTCATATATAGTTTGTCTCTCCTAGAATGTAAGTTCTGTGAGGCAGGGAGTAGTCTTGATTCAATACTGTAAAACCTTCACTTACGACACTGCCTGGCACATGGTAGACTTTCAATAAATAATGGAATGAATGAATAAATGGAGTCCAAAGAATAAATAACCATAGCTATTTTCAGTGAACCATGGATAAAAGACAACTACCAAGAAGCCAAATTTTTATTATGTTTCTTTTTTTCTTTACCTTCTATAGGAAGAACTACTCATTAAAATGATAAAAAAGCAGGCAGCCTGCCAAAGTAGAGTTTGGAAATCGAGTAAACCGGTAAACCAGCCTAAATTAAGGTCAGAACATACTCGAGCCTTTCAGAGGGTCTCCTGTTGTTCCCTACAAAGGCTGACATTCTCACGAACAAGCACACTCCTGGTGGGGAAAGGGGAGAAGAGACATATAGAGGGACGCTGGGGGCAAAACATCTACAATGGAGATATCTGACAGTGTCTGGAGACAATCTATCAGGATTTGGGGGCTGGGGTGGAAAGGGAGTAAGGGTGTCACCTGCATCTAGTGGGTAGAGGCCAAAGATGCTATTAAACATCTCACTATGTGCACAGGACAGCTCTATTAAGGAATGAATTATCCAGTCCAAATGTCAATAGCGATACTGTTGAGACCTCTTAATGTACTTCCCCTTCACTAAAAAAACATTACACACAAGTGATATTACTGAATACATAACTTTAACTACGAGGGGGTACTCCCCAAAACTGGAATTATCTTCTGGAAGGCAGACCTCTTGTAGTGCAGTCTTCCCCCACTAGGTGAGTGTTCTAGGAACCCATCTCTATCAGTGAACCAGCTGGTGCTGTTGTGAGAGGCTGTGTTCGTGTTCAGTGAATATTTTAGAAGACTCTTTCAATCCATTTGCCCATTCCATGACAGGTGATTTACGAGTGCACCTGCCTACACTGTGCTGAGTGTTCAGCAGTTTTTGACCCAAAATGGCATGACCCTCTGTGCCCAATCCTCCATATTTATTTACTCCATCTCCCGGAAAGACTAGAATGAAAAAAGTCCTCAAAGGCCAATGTGGGAGAGGTAAAACAAAAAACAGCAGAAACACAAAATCAAAATCGACAAGTTCAAAAACTGTTGTGAGCAGTGGGTAAACCATCTTAATAGATGTATTGCATCAGGTAGAAAATACTCTGAAGGTGACTGAAATTTAAACACTTAAGAATGCACAATTTTTATAAGTAAATTCCGTTTTTTGGGGGGGTCCCCCTCATACACTTGAATTTAGACAATTAACCAGTATGATTTTAAATCTTTAATTAGTAACAATCACTGGTGACAAGACTGTAACACATCACTATGTTAAGTCCCTAGTATTAATCCCTGGTAGATTTTGGAAATAACACTTCACCTAGAAACTTGAGACCATCTCTAAAATTCAAATCAGCTAGAACTCACTCTGCAAAATCAGAAGCTATGCAGTCCCCAAGTCAAGCTATATAAAGACTGCAGACTGCCACTGCAATTTTGAGCACACAATACCCGCATCATCTCTGGTACTTTTCCTGTGTGTCCTCAAATTTCACCTTTTCCACAAAACCTTTCCTCATAACTCCACTCGTCTTTGTCATAGTGCTTCCCACCTGGAGGGAACTCAATCAAATATTTGATGCCCACAATGTTTACTAAAGGAAACTCTCCATTCAGCTCATTCCATCTAACTCTTTTTGCACTTAAGGTTAACACTACACAAACACTGTGAGTTCTTTGTTTCATATCTGTATGCCTGGCTCACCATCTTTCCTACAGCCGAAGACTGTCAGATTTCCTTCTTGTTTACATACAAGTCCTAGGATAGAGCAAGTCACCAAAAGTCAATTCCCAAAAGAATTTTCTGATCCAAATATTTTAGAATTCTTCCCTGTCATCAGCCAGGAAATACGTGTGTGAGAATGCAGTGTGTTTTGGGAGCTCAGGCGGATGTCCTAAAACGACTCCTTTCTTCGCAACACCTCTTTGAACTCAACTCTCCCTATTGGGTTCGCACGGAAAGTTTTTCTACTTAGATGGGGAAGTAAGGTCGCGGACGAGTAGGGGTTACGTAAGTCCTCGCAATCTCCCACTTCAGCATCTTTTTTCATAAAGGCAAGGACCACTTTACACGTGGTTACCAAGGCAACCAGGAACAACAAAAATCTGAAGCGGTCCGGTCTACGGAAGAAATTCTAAGGTCCAAAGTTTAAGTGCGGAGTAGCGGCGCGAATTAGTAGACAGCGGCCACTACTGTGGCTAATTTAAAATCTCAGTTCAGTGCCATTTCTAACATACCTCGGCCCCAACCCCGGAATCCTTGTTTCGGAACAGAGACCAGACAGAGATTTAAGCTGACAAACAGCCGTTAAGCCCAGGCAGTCGCCTCCCGCCCACCCCACTCCGCCCCAATAAGCCAATTCCCTCCCTATCCCCATAGCATCCACTGAGCCGCGGACCCGAGGGAACGCTCTCCACGCCCTCACTAGAAGCTTAAGCGAAGAGCAAGTACGACTCCTCCGCAGCTGCAGCCACAGAACTATTCACCACGCCGCTGCTTTCGGCCCTAGTGAGGGGGCGAACTCAACCCGGGAAGCCACTCAGAAAAGACCCCAGCTTTGGCGAGGCCTAGTCGCCCCGACGGCCGGCGGGAGGACCTAGCGGTGGTCTCGGCCCACGTTTCTCTGTGCCACGGGCCTGGTCGTCACCCAGAGAGTGTGGACAGAGAAACGAAAAAAGTGGGTACTTCCAGACCCTTCCGTATCGAGGACCCGAATTAACAACCCACCTGGTGAGCGCCATCTTCTTCCGCTTGCTTTCAGCGCGAGCGACAGCTCCGAGAGGCGGGTCTTTCCTGGACTAGTTAGGAAAAGGAAGGAACGCGCAATACGCAGGCGCACGAGCCGTAGGGCCTGCTGGGATTTGTAGTTCTTTGAATAATACCACAATTCGCTTCCATCTAACCAGACTAAACTGGGGTTAGGGATTCCGTTAAGAATAGCAAATGCACCACTCGTCCGCTGTAAAATGACAGGGCGTTAACGAAGCGGTGCGGCCTTTTATATTGCTTTATTCTATTCCCTACTCAGACTCATTTCACTTTTGGGGTTCCTAAATATAACAGACTTCCTGAGACAGCTACATTGAATAAAAGGATGAAGAGTTTAAAAACAATAGAAAGTCGTGAGACTGGCGAAGGGAGAGTTACTGGACACTGAAAACGTTCACACGCAAAATTCTTCTTTAAATGCTATCCCTTACCAGCAGACCCCAACCTCCAGACATTCTCCTGGGGAGGTATTGTGTGATCCTTAGTAAGTTACCTTTAGAACTATGAACCTGAGAAAGAAGACACCAGCTAAAAAGGGCTTCTGGTGGCTAATGGCTCAAATTAAAAACAAAATAAAACACCTTGCTCAAATTAAACAAACAAACAAACAATCAAACAGCCTTGCAGCCATTTCTACACAAGAGCCTCTCAGAAAACTGTACTTCAGAGAGAAGCCAGCACTGAGCTATCCGCCTGCGCTCTTTCTGCTGACTGAGCCAGCCCTTACAAAAGAAGTTCTGGAATCCTGTTCCAACCAAGACACCCAACACCTACCCCAATCCAATCAGAGCTGTACAGCTCTGACCCACTGGAGTGGCTCTACTCTGACCAATCAGGACAGTGCCTTTTGGACCAATCAAATTGTGAAGATTTGGAGTCCTCAAATGCAAGAGGACAAACCAACTAGAGATGCTGTGGGGACTTCTCTCCATATCAGCCAGCTCCCCTCTGTCTCTGAGAAGTGCAAAGCAGGCCTTCAAGGAACAGAGCAGAGCTGTTTAGTGGGTGCCCCATAGCTGTGCTGTATCACAATTGAGCTGCTTTGCACTGAATAGTTTCCTTCTTCACCGCACCCTCAAATTAGGGATGCCTCCTGGTGTTGAATTGACACCAACAACTATTGGCTGACTGTATGTGTTTTACATAGATTATGGATTAGACATAATCTTTGATGAGATGATAAAATAAATGGCATATGCTTCAAAATATTGGAAAGAGGAAAGTGAGTGCAGTATAGATGAAATGAGAATAGCCCTGAGTTTTGATCACTGTTGAAGCTGGGTAACAGGGACATGGATCTTTGTGGTAGTATTCTACTTTTGTATATGTTTGAAATTTTCCATGATAAAAAGTAAATGCAAACTTTCAATTGCAGTATAGCATGCATACAGGAATGTGCATATACTCTTAAGTGTACCACTCTTTGAATTTTCCCAAACCAAACACACCAGTTTGAGCAGCAGCGGAAGCACCCCCTCCACACACACTCAGTATGACTCCGTTGCTGGTGTGACAAGATATTCCAGTTCATCTAGCCCTTTTCCTGCTCCAGACCTGGAATCACTCATTTCTCCAAGGAGTCTTCCTTTAGGCAAGAAAGTGATATTTAGAGAAAAAAAATCTGGATGCTGCAAGCACTCGTGGGACTGGGTTGATTATTGTTTGGAAGGCTTTTCAGTGGTCAGAGCCAAAAAAATTTACACACATTATTTTTTGAGAAAATGCATCATGCTTTCATACCAATATTTCTAAAACTGCAGGCATAGGTTTAAACAGATTCTACTTAACTTTGATTTTATGTGTATTTCTTCTGCAAATCTTGGAACTTAATGGCATAATTGTGTATGTGAAACCATGGATTAAGGAAGACTACTGTACCATAACAGGGGACTGATGTCCCATCATATGCACAGCCCCAGGGATTATGCAGGGAATGTGTAGGGTTGGGGGGTTGAGGGAAGAGATTGGGGGAAATCTTAGAATCCTGCCTGTCACAGGGTATAAGCCAAATGAAAAAAAGCCATTATTATTTCTTTTTGTCAACGCAGGATTTTTGATCACATTGTGTAGAGTAACAAGCATGATCTGGGAGTCTGAAGATGTAAATTCAAGCTATAGCTTCACCAATAAACTGTATTATCATGGTCAAGACAGAACTACTTTGCCCTCAATTTTATCAAACTTAAAATGCTTATCATGTTAACTGCCTTGTGTATGTGCGTATATAATAGCATGATTATAACACTTAATTAAGGTAATGTAGGTGAATGTGTTTAACTCAACTCTAATGAACTATGTAAATATATTAGCTACTATAGTTAATATTTTGGTTGACAGTGATCTGCTTTAACCTCTGCTCCAGGAATGTATCATATCTAAAAGAGAATAAAAGGAGCAAATTAGAGGAGGTCCCAGAAGCCAAGATCAAGGAGCTTAGTTTTAATTCAGCAGGTAATTTGGAGATGAAGGAGGACTTAAAAGAGCCCGGGTCCAAGAAACTGGCAGGAAAGATGATTCTTATGGCAGAATGGGTTTCTATGGTGATGAGAGACAAAGAAGGCCACTGAGGACAAGGTTAAAATAATTAACATGGGAAATCAGCAAGACACAGACTAAGACCTGGGATGTAGGGTTGAAAGAAAGAGGTAAGGAAGAGCTTTTAGAATCCACTCTCATTTTTCACAGAGTCATGTCCATGAGAAGCATTTCTACCAGTCAATGGCCCCTTGCTCTCCTTGCGGTATATAGAGAATAGGAACGGACTTTAATAGTAATCTTAGCAAAACATAATTAAGAAGGTAAATCTACTACAAAAGTAAGATGATATTATACTCCAAGGCTGAGTATTTTATTCACATTTGTGGGGGAGGGGTTTTGTGTTCAGTTGTGCTGGATCTTCTTGCAGCATTCATTCTTCATTATTGCAGGTAATGAGCAGTTGCTAGCTCATAAATAGCCTGGTGCAGGCCAGAACTGATGCTGCTCCAGGTTTCAAGGAACAATCTACTCACTCTACTCTTGGTATTCCAGATAGAGTATAGAATTTGTCCCCAGGGAACCCAGGGTCTAAGCTGATTCCTAACTAGCCATGGCTCCGTAACCACAAGTATCATTATTAGTAGTAGTGGATTCTGGAGTCAGCTTTCCCGGGTTCTTTTCCCAGCTTTCTAATTTACTAGTCGTGCATCCTGGGCAAGTCACTTAACTTCTCTCTCAGTTTTCTTGCTGCTTCTCCAACCCCTCAAAATGGGGAAAGTGTATAACCTAGTCTCATAAAATTGTTGGGACAATTAGATGAATTAATCATGTAAAGTGCTTAGAACAATAAATATCCAGCATGGAGTACATGTCAAAAAGTAATAATTATTTCCTGATCTTAATTTAATTGGCCTTAACAACATTTATTAAGCTTCTAGAACTTCAGATTTTGTAGCAAAGTGAGACAATTGAACTCACTTTTATTTCCAGGGTAACTACCAACTCACATTCTTTTCTCCTATATGATGCATGTTTTTGTTGCAATGCTAGTATTTTATGCTTTGATGCCATTATGCTTTAGTTATTGCTGCTTTATTTAAATTCACTCTCTAGTGAAAAGTGGCCCTGCCCCACCTCACTGTTCCTCCTTATTAGAAGTCTTTCATTTGCTTTCACAATCTTTAAAAAAAACTTTAAATGTGTTGGTTTCTATTGAAGTGTAGTTTCAAAGGTTAGACTTACAAATTAGTCACTGCAAAAGGAAAAGTGTACCTTTACAGTGGAGGGATCTGGCTGTCATCACTTTGGTATTTCTAGTAGAGGGGCAGTCCGACTGCTGGTGTTTCCATTGTGTGATGAGGCCAGACCTAACTTCCAGTTCACAGGAAACTTGGGACCTAAAGGAACAAGAGAAATAGCACAGGGAAACAATCAGAAAAATCCAGAATGTGAAACATTCTACAGGACGAGTGGCCTAGACTCTTTGAAATGTCAGTGTTATAAAGAAAAAACGTAATAGAATAAATGAAAAAAGTGACTGATGAGATATACCAAATGCAATGAGTAAAAAGCTTATTAGAAAAAAAAGCTTATTGGATTTTGGTTCAGCTGGTGAGAACTATAAAAGATATTCTTGGGACATGTGGACAAGTTTGAATATGGAGTTATAGGAGACTACATTATGACATTTTGGCTAATTTTATTTGGAGGATTAATGACATTGTGGTTATATAGGAATAAGTAAGAATAATGTCCTTATTCTCAGATGCATGCCAAAGGGTTTGGGGATGAAATGTATGCAACATGCCTTCAAATAGTTTAACTCAATAACAATAAAGAGGTGTGTGTGTGTGTGTGTGTGTGTGTGTGTTCACAGTGAGGTGGGAAGAGAGGGGGATGGAGGGAGACAGTCAGAAAGCAAATACAACAAAATGTTAATAACTGTTGAACCTAGATAGGGGGAGGGCACTGTGCAGGTGTTTAATGAACTATTGTTTCAACTTTTTCATATATATATGTATGAACATTTTTATTTTTATAAGAAAAATTTAGGTCAGAAAAGCAAAGTTAGAGGACTCACATTTCCCAATAATCAAGACAGTGTAGTCCGGGCGCAAGTATGGACATATAGATCAATGGAATAAAAGGGAGAGTACAGAAATAAACCTGCATGTCTGTGGTCAACTGATTTAAAAAAATTTTTTTAAAGATTTTTATTTATTTATTTATTTGTTTTTAGAGAGGGGGAAGGGAAGGAGAAAGAGAGGAAGAGGAACATCAATGTGTGGTTGCCTCTCACGTGCCCCCTACTGGGGACTGGGCCCACAACCCAGGCCTGTGCCCTGACTGAGAATCGAACCCACAACCCTTTAGTTCACAGGCTGGCCCTCAATCCACTGAGCCACACCAGCCAGGGTCAACTGATTTTTGATAAGGGCGCTGCTATGGAATAACTGTCTCCCCCAAATATGTTGAAGTCGAACCCCAAATGAGTTGGTGTTAAGAGGAGGGGACTTTAGAGGGTGATTAAATCATGAGGGT